AAACCTTTGTAAAGTGACTAATAAATTTATTGTGCTGTTAAGTGTATCAATGCAGGCTGTCTTGAACACATTATTTAAATAATAGTATGCAAAATTACTATTAGCAGGAATCAATACATATATAGTATGTGTTTTTTATACATATACTTTTTCTGAAAACAGTATGGTAAGTGAGTAACAAAACTCAAGGATCTATTATTTATGCAATAGAAATTCCAGAAGTTAAATGCTGAGCTAAAGAATATGGTATTTTTTGGCTATGTGTAAGAATTTTATAGAATCAGCAAGCACAGATAACCTTATAAATTAGTCAGTTAATATAGTTCTTATTTGTTACATGAGAGAGTGATCATTTACTTATATGTAAATACTATAAGGCATTTGAAATAGTAAAGTTTATTATACTTTTAAAAGTTATAAGATCTATGCGATTCTATCACCATGGTGAAAGTGTCTTATTTCTCTGTTTATTTGCTATGTTATATGATTGTATAGGGAACGTGAATCTTTACAATGAAAGAAGGAGTAAGATTATGTATAAACGTCCTCTAAATTTTATGAAGATAAATGGTATGGTTTGATTTTTTATTTTCAAATGATAAAGATAATAATGATAAAAGGCATCTATTGTACAATCTTCTTTACCTTCAATCTCCAGTATTATTTTCCCTTATAACAATTAGACATTTTTTAAAAGAAATATATAAACTAAATGTCCAACTTTCTTCAAAAAAGGGAAGATATGTATGTGTGTGTGTGTGTGTATGAAAAATATAAACAGTGTACATTTTAGAGAAAGCATACGTTGGATACAACATATGCAAATACCAGCCTAGCACAGGATTATGCCTGAGACTAAGCAACAGATCATAAACACCTTGGTTTGCCATACACCCATTTTTCTTTGGGAAACGACTGACTGCACCAGTAGCGTAATCAACTCTCTTGGCAGTAAATCTAGTACTAACTTGTTATTGGAATAGTCTACACAGTTTTTGAATTTCTAGAGAACAAGCTTCCCTATCTAGTTTTGGGCACATAAGACCAAAGTAATTTGTTAGAAAATACATATTTATACCTAGTATGTTCTTATGCTTCCCTTGGACCTAGTCTTTCTGAATTATGTATTGTAAATTTTTCTAGCAGAACTGGCATAGTACAAATATGTCTTTTGAAATTGCGTATCTCTCATGAGAATTTTTTAAAATAGAGTTTATCTAAAATAAATTCACGGACCCTCAGTACCAAACATGGCTTTCCTTATGCTTCATCTGTTTTGGACGCCACATTATTATATGGTGTATGCTAATTAGGCACTATAAGTAGAAACAGATATGAATATAAAGTTGGCTCTGTATCTGATTATAACTAATAAAATTCCTTTTTCAGAGTCCCTGAAACAAACCATTTCAGAATAGAGCATATGCTTTTGAGAAACGGCATCTCCTATAGCCTAATACTGGTTTTAAGTAGATATGTTATGCAGAATCATCATAGTTTTGTTTTATAGTTTAGTTGGTATTTTTGTAATCAGAGTCTCACTTCTTGCTTCAGGTGGAGTAGAGTGGAGTGCCGGATAGGGTCGCCCTAGCGTCACTGCATACCAGCTAAAACTTTGCCTGGGCTTCAGGCATACTCCTTTTCTAGCCTCAGCGCTCCCATAGTACTGGGCTACAGACATGCCCGGACATCACTTCTGGCTAATTCCTTTTTTCTATATTTTGGTTATAACTTAGTTCTGGCTTAATTTTCTTTATTTATAGTTACGTGATTTCGAGTCATTGGGTCTCGCTGCTGTCATCAAGATTGCTGGTCTCTTGTTAACATCCTGTGCTAATCGAAGCAATTCGCCCACTTCTCGGCCTATCTCGCAGAGTGTCTAGGATTGTGGTATTCTATGCGTGAGCCTCTATCTGCTGATACTCGAACTCCGTAGAGCAATCCTACGCCTTTTAATGCCAGAGTCATTGGAGTGTCTGCCTTTCTATTTCGCTTGTGAAGCTCTTCACCTTCTTATTTGTATTGATTACAGCATAGTAGAGGACACTGAGCCATAGAAGGACTAGGGGCGAGTTTATTCACTGTTTGTTTTTCTAGTTGCTAGGAGCTCATGCAGCATGTGATTTTAGTGGCCCCATTCGGTATTTGATCACCCAGATGGGACATGACTCTGCTCCAATGTTCCAGTTGTTCCCGCTTCTCTAGAGCTCTTCATATCAGTGCCCATGTTTCTGACAGTCATGATAGTGTGTCAGGTCCCAAACTTGTCTATACACCGAGTATATCATCCAAGGAGCTCTGTCAAAAAGGTATCTATGTATTGTTCGTCTTGTTAGTCCACAGCAGTGATTTTATTGCTGTTTAAGTCTTGATTGCTTGTGGGGGTGGATATTATAGCCCTGGACTTCCACTTGATATAGTTTTAAAGAGCCTGCAGGTGAGTTCTAAGGATGTGTCCTACGAGGGTTCTGCACATCAATCAAGCTTTTGAGGAACATTGTTATGATAGTGAATTGGTTATTCAGTAATAGTTGAGAAATTTACTTCTTACCATTGTTCAACTTGCCTTTGTTTGTAATCTAGTAATGTATTTTGTATAGGTTCTATATGTGGTTTTCATGCTTCCGTCATGTTGGTGAACACTAACTTATTCATGTCTGCTTATTAATGGACCACTTTCTACCTTGAATAGCAACCTAATTTTTTCTTTTATATCGGCTTCTCCTACATTTCATCTTGTTGGTGATTCATGAATTCACTTGGGCTCTCTGAATATGATAATCTTTTGCTTAGCGCCAAAATGTTTGCTGTACAAACTGGAATTTATCTTTAGAATATTATCAGAGCATTGCCATAAAATAAACAAATGTCTGTGTCTGAATGAATATCAGGCTCCTTTCATTTGACATTACAACTTTGACATTGTTATTTTAGCTATGTAGAAAACTTTTGTCAGGTACGCTACTTTGGAGAATCGGTTTGGCAGTTACTTATAAATTGAATAAGTGCTCTATAATCAACCCAGCCTACCATCCTCTAGGTATTACCCAAGAAAATTAAAACACATGTTCACACAAAGACCTGAACATGAATGTTTATAACAGCTTCATTCACAATCACAAAAACGGACACAACCCTTAAGTGTGCCATACAATCAGAGAAGATAGATGAACAAGAGTGTGTCCATCCATGTAATAGAATAACCACTCAGTAATGAAGAGGAGCAAACTGGGGATCATTAAGTGAAGGAAATAGATAAAACAGAAACTTTATTTAACTATGTATGATTCCAATTATATGACATTCTGGAAAAGGCAACACTATTGGCCACAAATCAATAATTGCCAGGACCAGAGACAACTACCAATGGGTCAAAAGGGATTTTGAGGGATGATGAAATATTCTATATGTTGACTTGTAGTGTTCATTACACAATTGGATATAATTGTCAAAATGCATGAAACCATACACCTTAAAAGAAAGTGTGAATTTTACTCATATTTGTTACTTCAATAAAGTTGTTAAAAAGAAATCTCTGTCACATTTCCAAGTTTTAGATGATCCTCTGAATTTAATTTTTGAATTGTATAATCTCAGAATCAGAAAGAATCTTAATGGTTGGCCAGTGTACGTCTGAACACCTTCAATGACAGGTACTCACTACCTCCATGTTGGCTCATTTCACTTCACAAGCTCTGCTAGGATGTCATTTTATTTACATTTATAACTATAGCTTTATATACATACACATATACAGTCAGCAGTCTGTATCTGTGGGTTCTGCATCTGTAGATTCAACCAACACAGATAGAAAATATTTTTAAAAAAAAATAACTTCTACAGAACATGTACAGACTTTTCTTTTCTTGTCATTATCCCAATAATACAGTAATAAACTATTTACATAGCATTTACATTGTAATAGGTATTTTAAAGTAATCTAGAGATGATTTAAAGTATACAGGAGGGTGTGCATAGGTTATATGCAAATACTAAGCCATCTAATCAGGGACTTAAGCAGGGTTTTGGTATCTGGGGGAGGTCCTGGAACTAAGCCCCATGGATATCAAGGGACAACTGTACACACATATGAAATATATAAATAGACAGACATAGATATAAAATATACACATCATATATTCCGATGGCTTTTGCCCATTGCTTTATTGTGCTTTATTCCAATTAAGTAGGTTGGTGACTCAGCCACATCATTTCTCACTCAATATTTCGAAATCACTTTGTACTATGGTTTTTAACTTTAAGATCTTTTCCTCAAAACTGAAATTTTAGTAATGCTTCATTTTTTTTCAATGTTTTAAAATGCATCTCATAAACTGGATAGGTTTTGTCAACTTAACAAAATTTAATTGCTTGTTTTTCCCCACCATCCCTTTGAATTGTTCTGCTGCGGACTTCTCATTTAGAAATCACTTATTAGGAAACTCTGCTTTTCCAAGGATTACCACTCTCTACACGATTCAAAGCAAGAACCTACAAGATACTGGCGAAGTAGAATGACATACAAAAGCATGAACTCACACTAATAAGTTTTGAAAATGCTGAAGATCCAGAAAGATCATTATTAAATTTTTTTCCCTTCAAAGATTGGAGGACATGGACACTCTGTCAGCACAGACACACAGAGGACATACTGAAAAAAAGACAATAAAGGAAGACAACAGCAAGGCATATTTTTACCAGTTTAAATTTATGGTGTGATAAAGGAATGTCACACTTGCAGTCAACTGCTATACAACTCTGTGAAAATGATGCTCCTTCTGCCATTCTTTATAAGTGATAATAAAAATAGAATTTTTTGCAAATTATTTCACTGATCATTGGAGATTAACGTTTTGACTAAAATTTCCCCCAAACTGGAGTAACTACATCTAACTACTACACTTTGAAATGTTATTGCATAAGATCTCCTTTACCTTCTATGAATTCAGAAAAAGGAAATCAACTCAACGAATCAAATATTTCAAATAAAACGATGCTAGCATAAAACAATAATTTCAGTTCTCACCACTAAAAATTTTAATAATGTTTACAGTACATATATTTGCAATATACACTGACATTTCACATTCACTTGTTTATTTATGTAGTCCTTAGAACACATTATGGTATTATGTTCACACAAATGGTTAACAAACAGAAAAAGCAAAATATAACTCACCAGACTAAATCCCAGAAGATGTCACTGTACAATTTCCAATGAGGCCCAAGGAACAAGGCATAATAATTTTTCTGTGCTACTCCAGATACTAAACATGAAATACAAAAATAACCTTAACAAGTAACACAACTATAACATAATTATATCAATTCTAATGTAAAATAGAATGAAACTAGCAGGAGGTACTAACATCAGATACAGGTTATATGGCATATAATTATTAATTCAATGAAAGTAACTTTGAGTTTCTTCAGCTAAATGAATCCTCAACATTTTATCATGCTCATTCCTCTGCAATTTTTTGCTTAAACTCTACCTAGAGATTAAGAACAGCTAACTGGCCTAAATAAAGAGATAAGAAAAATTAAGAGTTGAAGTGCAGGTTTCCCTATGCTAGTACTATTCACATGTTCATCAGAATCACGGGTATTCTATGGAAAAAATAATGCTGAGGCTGGGGTCAAAAAAAAAAAAAAAAAAAGAACAGGTCCTAGCTCTGGCCTTTCTAGGAACTCTGCTCTTGCCTTAGCATAAACATCAATTTTTAAAATGAGGACAAAAATATTATCTTTCCCCCCTAATGCAGTTGTAAGGCAGATAAAATGAAACGAGGTAGCTGAACATGTTTTGCATGCTGAAAAGCCCTTTACAGATGTATGATGCTATTATTATGCAATCAATGTTTGGTATCTACTCATTTTAGCCACAAAACAGCAACAATAAGAAATCTTCCATAAGACTGCTGTGAAGCAAAGGATCAGGAGGTTCTTGGAAAACAATTAAAAAAAAGAAAGAGAGAGAGAGAATGACTCAAAAACTACTTTTTTATAGTTACCACTTTAAGGTGTTTAGCATCTCCTCTGTACCTGGGTCTCTCCTATCTGGAAGTTAACGTGTAAGAGAATTTTTCTTTATCTCCTAGCCCTCCCCCTAGTTAATTGGGTTAATTAGCAAAGACCAAGAAAACTCCCCAAAGTCCTTTTCTACCTAGGATATAAAGGTTTCTTTGGTTGTTGGGCTTTCTGTTGTTGATGTGTTCAACAACAGAAGGAGGTTGGGGAAGGCTCAAATGAGCTGAGTAGCTTCATTTTACCTATACAGGTGCACAGAGCCCGAAAATCGGGTGGCAACCGTATGACATGTTCTCAAACAGAGACAAACAGCAAGGGAAAAAGCAAGGAGTCTGTCGCTTCATTACTATTCTTACCAGCTCAGAAGAGTTTCAGCCAAAGGAAATGGGTAATTGCTAAATTAAAGATATATACTTCCTCAGCTCGAGACAAAGAGCTAATGCACCAAGAACTGTCATTCCAAGAAACTAGCATGTTGATCAGCTTTTGGAACTTCTTTAGATGTGGATAACAGACACACAACAAACACTCCCTTTCATTTCTTTTGCTAACAACTACTTTCAAATTGGGTGACCAAGAAATCAAGCCTTGGTTCTACTCCACAAACGGAAGCCTCTGGTTTTAATACAAAGTGAATTGTAATGTAATAAAAACTGTTACCTAATGATGCATTTATTTAATATAATCACTCCAAAGAATTTCCCCAATATCGATGTTATAAAGTTCACATTGATTTTGTATTTAATTGATTTTTTAATGGGGAAGGGAACTAAAAAGAATAATATTTTTGAGTATCTTCTATATGCCAAAAGCTATACACAATTTATTTCATTTAATCTGAACTAAATGAGGAAAATATTACCCCCTTTTTAAAGTATTCTATTAAATAACACTATTTGAGAGTCAGAGCAGGAATCTGAACCCCAAATGGTCTGACTCCAAAGCCCATTTACTTGTCTTTAGACTCTGTAGCTTCTATTCAATGATAAGCCCACATGTATAACCTTTTACACAATAATCATCTTCCTGAAAAATGTATAGTAATTAATCTCCGTAAATGGAATCCTATTCTAAATGCGTGGTGAGGCACTTTATCTAAAAGCTTTATCATCTCATTTGCAAAACAGTTAAAGCGAGGTAGTTTTAACTACTAGCTGCAAGGTTATTTCCAACTTCAAAAATATTAGGATTTTAAGGCACATAGTGAAGCATCTCACACAAAATTCTTCTAAATCATGGACTCTTTCTCCCAAGAGCCTCTAGGATTTTTAAAAAAACCATAAGTTATAAGGCAGAAAATAATTTATCAACCAATACTTGCTGGTTATATGGTTGAATGTCAAATACAGATACACACACACACACACATATTTCTACTCTATTTTTCAGGGCTTACATCTATCACAAAGAGAGACAGATTTCATTTAGACTCTTAGAAAATTGAGATTGAAAACTGAGAAGCAACATTAGAAAAATCTGAATTTTCGGCCAGGTGCAGTGGCTCATATTAGTAATGCTACCACTCTGGGAGGCCAAGGCAGGGTGATCACTTGAGATAAGCAGTTCAAGCCGAGCTGGAGCAAGATTGTGACCCTGTCTCTACTAAAAATAGAAAAAATTAGCCAGGTGTGGTGGTGGGCTCGCCTGTTGTCCCAGCTACTCTGTAGTCCCAACTACTCAGGAGGCTGAGGCAGGAGGATCACTTGAACCCAGGAGTTTGAGGTTGCTGTGAGATAGGCTGATGCCATGGCACTGAGAGACTCTGTCTCAAAAACAAAACAAAAACCACAACACAATTTTCTTAATTCTAAACAAAGAATAGTTTTAAAAGTCTTAAATCTAATTCAAACCCTCATGTAATTGGTCTCATGTTATTTGGCGACATATTCTTTCTTTCAAGCTTTTAAATGCACTAGGAAAATAGTTACACTTTCAAATATTTTTCACCACCACAAGAAAAAAATCAACCAAAACTTCATTCTGAATTTGAAAGCAGGGGAGCCTTAAAGTAATTATCCAACTCTTGCACTGGAGCTGATGTGGAAGCCTAGGAAATGGTCGGTAATTTCATAGTAAACAAAGTGTAGAAACTGATTATCCCTATTATGCCAGTGCCAAGCCAAAAATAGAATACAAACACAGAGTCCAAGGGAGCAATACAAAGTGAAACAAGGTGCAAGAGCTCCACTGCATTCTCATTTTTACTCATTTCAGACTCGGTTATGTGTGTGACTGAGTGCTATCTGTGCACAGGTGCTAACAAGAAGAGGAGGAAGAGGATGAAGACAGTGAAAAAGAAAAAATATAAAGAACAAGACCAGAAACTAACTAGTATAAGAATATACCATCTTCAATAAGAGATAGCCTACAAAGAATCTACAAAGTTATAGTTAGGGTTTTACCTCCATCTCCTATTAATAAAAGACTGCAATATGAAAGTCCTCAAAATGTGTACCTTTCAAATAACACACATTTTTAGAATACTTAAAAAATCTATAAATCTCTTAACACTCACAATTGATTCTGGCCAACGATCTGAACATGAAGGTTTGGAAAGGCATCAATAGATCTCCTCTCAGAAAGTCAGCAAGAAGGAAAAGAACCGATATGAAATTCTTAGAAGATGGACTCAATGCTGCACAGAAATACAGACTGCAGTAAACAGAGGAAAGGCAATAGGATATAATGCTTCCAGTTATTATAAGAAGGTGAGACAGAATGTTCTGGGACATTAACCTGTATGTAAGCAATAAAATTTTTTTTTTTTTTTAAATCAAGCATGCCTACAGGCCTCTGGATAGGAAAGCCATGGGTAACTAAGCAAAAAAAAAAAAAAACACCCAGCACTCGACTGCAAGTGAAGCTTCTACAAATAGAAAAGTTTGCAAACATTAACTAGCAAGTGTGTCAAGTTTCTCACGTAAGGTAATAGTTATTATTACAGGTAAATAAAGAAGAACAGCCTTTTAAAAGTAGGGTGAGCATATGTGTCAATTCATAGTGCATATCCTGGCATAATTATTTACAGCACCTCCTTTAACTCTCAAAAATGTCTCCGTTTGGCTATTTTAATTGCTTTACTATTCAAAATATATAACAATGGAAAGGCAATGAGTTTATAAAAAGAAAGAAAGAAAGAAAGAAACACCCTTCTGCTTACATAGTGGCTTGTCCTACAGATCTGAGTTTGGGTGTATCCACTTAGGTAGTCAATTATTCACTTATTTAGTTATTCAACAATATTTCTTGAATCTTATTAGATGTCCCTGCACTGTACAGGCACTGGCACTAAAGACCAGGCCAAAAGGGAAGGCAGATAGACATGAAAATACATAAATTTAATACATATAACAGTAAACCTCAATAGCACTGGCAACCCAAAAAAGGGAGGCTTCCCCCAAAATATACAAAGTCTCATATGGTAATGTTCAGGTCCACACAAAATCCCTATGCAAAAAAAAAAAGCCATAAATTGTAGACTTCAGCACAAATCACTAACAAAGTAGCAATAGGATAAATTTAACAAAACTTATCACAAATCATGTGATTATAAAGATGAAGGACAGCACATAGCCCTTCTGAATTTTGGTAAATAAATCCCACTAATCATTAAAGATTATTTATGAAAGCAAGATACACTTTAGGCAAACAAATTGATAAGAGTAGAAGTTATGAGTTCTAATTCTAGCTCCCAAAACATGAAAAAAAAAAAAAAAGGAAAATGTCACAATTCTCAGAGTGGCTATTAAAGGAGAGGCCAATAATGAAAAAGTGCTTAGGAAAAAAAATTACATTATTTAAAAATTCCATTCAGACTAGTAAAAATATTTTGTAACCACTAGTCTCAGACTACCTTAAAACAAGTAAAAGAGAGATCAAAACAAGTAGAGACCAAAACATCCCTAAAGCAACAGAACACTGAGCAGAAATAAAATGGTTTAACTGTCACAGTACAATACACAATGAAAACAAAATGCTTAGTTGGACCTACATGCTCATCTCAGAGGTTACTTTCAAATAATCTTACTTTACCATTTACAACTTGAAAGGAAATCATCAACAGTTTTTAAAAACAGTTGTTAAGTAGGGTGTGACTTTCCTGAAACCATCCTTGACCTTAACCTGGCCAACGTGGTAAGACAACCCATAACTGGTTCAGTAAGGCAAAAATTCGGTTTCTCTTTCTAATATCGGTTCCTTTAATAGCAATCCACCCCCTTAAAGTGCAGCATTAATTTTCTTTCCATTTCTGCTAGTAAAATTTAAGCCTAGGTTACTCATATCATCTTATCACGTGAAGTCATCCTTCTACTTTTAGAAAAATACTCAGTTTCACTGCAAATATGACTGACAGTAACTGGAACTGCAGGTCTGCATGCAGTCTTTAAAAGAAATTTGCCTCTTAGGAAGCATCATCAAAACGGGATAGGTATACCCGGTGGGAACAACTAACCTTCCAAAGGAAAGCTTACTCATTTTGATACGCTGGTGACAAAATCAAAGTTCTCTCTGGAGGAAAAGACTTTCCCCCACCCAAAGCCCCTCATGCTAAAACAGCAAAGACATTTGGAATCCTGTATATAAAGTTTTATTACTCTCACCACATTAAATATTTTTAAGAGTTCATTTTAAAACAGCTCTCCAAAATACACAGAGAAAACAAGCAAATTCACTGACTGTTATGCAAGATCAACAAACATATATGATATCCTGGAACAGTGACTAGTAACAGCCTCATGCGCAATTAAATAAACCAAAATGTTAGCAAACTCATATTCTATACACAGTTCTTATCAAATTAAGAGGTCTCTGTGCTCACGATCCTGCTCATTTTAAGTCTATAATGCATTCACAGTTACATAATAAAAACAGAGAAACCTGTGAAACATTCATTAAACATAATATTGTAAGCATAAATCGTGGTCTTGAATTAATGAAGTAACCAAAAGCTTCTGCCAAGAATAACCAATACTGTATTTGGAAATTACTGAAAAATAAACTTTGGGAAAGGGTCATTTCTATCTCGCTAGTGTCTATCCTGTACTACAGGGTTATAGAAAATAAAGCAACTAACAACGCTAAACTGTAGCAGAGTGGCTCTTCGAGAGAAACAATGTAAAATAACGAGTCTAGTAACATCAGGAACGTTGTGCAGGAATTGTTCTTTTGGCTAGTGGTAACAAGCTCACTGCAATATGCCTCCATTCTTCTGAACCTCCTCAAACGATTAAAAAGTTCCCAGCTCCAGCTTTACCTGTGCACGGCAACCATACACATCACACACAAATCTTCGTTCAACGCAAGTCACTAACCCACTCGTCTGCAAACTGGCGTGGGTGGAGAAGCAGGGAGTCCCTAAGGATGAACACTTGCAAGGGGAAAAGGACAGGGCCATCATTCCCTTCGCGCTCCCGTCTCGTTTCTGGCAGAGATTCGCAGATTCCACCACTAGAGAGAGTTTGGCAGCTTCACAATGGGGCCGCTGCTCAAGGTCTGACGGCCGCCCGCCTCGAAACCCCTTCCCTCCGCTTCCCACCCGCTCCAAAGTCCGTCCGCGACAGGTGGGGCGAAGCCGGCGATGCCCAACGACATCTGCCGCTTACGCTCCTGGCCAGCACCGGGCCCCCGTCCACGCGCGGGCACACAGCCACCACCGGCCAGTTCGGCCCCCGCCGCACCGGCAGACGCTCGGCGGGGCCGGCGGCCTTGCACCCGGGTTGCAAGTGTGGGCGCGGGGGCCCCGGCGAGATCGGATCGCCCGGGCTCGCCCCGCGGTGCTATCTGGCCTGGGCAGTCGCACCCTGCGCGCGGCCGGGCACGCGGCCAGAGGTGCAGCAGGCCGGGGAAAGAGCTACTTCTCAATGGGGCCCCCAGGCCCGCTGCCCCGCGGTGCGGGCACGGCGGCCCAGGGAGCGAGCGTGCGCGCCAACGCGCCCGACTTCCGCACCGCCGCACCGCGGGAGAGGCGCTCCGGGTCGCCGAGTTCCCGCACCTCCCGGGCGAGCGCACGCCGCGCGCACACGGGGGCGCACGCCCCCGCACACTCACTCGCGCTGCACACTCACGGCGGCTCCGGCCCCACCCCTGTGCCGGGGAACCGCAAGCTCCCCGCACCCCGCGCGGGCCCCACCCAGTTCACCAGCCCCCAGCTCCCTTCTTGGGTGCCTGGGGACCGGCCCGCCAAGGCCGGGGGACGCCGGGGCCGCCCCGCTGCCCATCCGGGAGGCCGGCCTGGCCGGGGTTCCCCAGCACCGCGCGGGCACCGTGCGCCCGGCCCCAACGTGAGGCAGGGAGGAAGGGGCGGCGCCGCGATTGGGGCTGGCACCCAGGATCGGTGACTGGGGCAAACCTCCCCCCCCATCACCACCACCTCTTCTGCGGCACAAAAGGTTGCAGACGGAGCCGCCGTCCCCGCGCAACCTACCCGTGGCCCAGAGCTCCGTCGTCTCCGCTGTGCCCGGGGCCGCGGAGCCGGAGACAAGGGCGGGAGAGGCGCAGGGCTGCGGCGCCGAGATCCGGGCAGAGGCCGCCAGCCGAGCCAGCCGGGTACCCTCTCCTTTCCCACCGCGCTCGGCGCCAGCTACCGCCCGGCGTAGTCCCCGCCCCCTCCTCCTCCTCCTCCGCCCGCCTTCCCGCCTCCTTCCCGGCTGCGGAGGCGCAGCCCGTCAGCGCTGAGCCCGCCTCCTGCGCCCGGCTCAGACACCCGGACGAAGGGCGGGCCGGAGGGCGAGCGAAAGGCGCTAAGAGGCCGTAAGAAGTGGGCGGGGGCGGGGTTGGTGACTGGGCAGGGGAGGAGGAGTCGCAACACTCCCTCCCCAGTCCAACCCAGTACTCCAGCTGAAGAGCTCCAACTCGCAGGCCTGGGAACACTTAGCCTTCGCTGGTTAAGTGTGCTGATGTTGTCATTTGTGAGTCTCCGCTTAAAGGGCTTAGCTAGCACCTAGCAGTAGTCGAGACGACTAGCCCATGAAATTACAAATTATGGCATCAGTTTTAGAAAACTACTAAATACCCAGTGAATGTGTGTTGGGGGGGTAAAGTTCAAATTCAGATTCTGATTGCATTAGCTAGTTTTGGATCTGCAAAGACTTTGATCTTTTCTATTCTTGTAAGAGATTATTTTCCTTGACCAAGATTTTCTTTTCTCAATTCATGTACATCTCCTCTGCCAAACTGGTTAAGCTCTGCGATGAGAATGTTTACTGACATTTATTTAGCTCTCAATATGTGCCAGGCCTTTTTACATGCCTTTCCAAATTTACCCCTCTCAACAATTCTGTAAGGAAGTAACCAATTAAGGTCCACATTTTAAAGACACAGAAAGTTTAAGTAACTTCCTCCAGGGTACACAACCTAGTAAGTGGCTGAGCTGAGTGTATACACAGTGAACCCCCAAATTGTTTATAAATGTTATAATTTTAGGTGCCAGTCTGAAACCAAGAGAGTTTGTTGGTTGTTTTCTTTTTTTTTTTTTTAACAAAAACCTTTAGCTAAACATAAAAGACATAATATTAATGTATTTGGTGTAGATCAATAAAAATTTAAACAATCTTGACTCAAACTTGTTCCAGAATACATGTCTTGTCCCTGATAATATGAAGACAAATAAATGTGGACATCCCCTACTTCAACAGAATGACTCCTGGTCATTCTCCTCAGGTAGAAGACATGTTATGCTATCTCTTATGTGCCCTAAAATAAGTATGGGAAGGTAGAGGAAAGAGGAAATTTTAACGAATGTTCCCTAAACAATTTTTAAAAACATCAGTTACTTTTTTTCCAACACATATGTATGTAAACTTCTCCTTTACAGAATGTGGCACAATGCAGTATGTGTTGAACAGATAGATAAATAAATGGACTTTTTATTTGTATCAAGTACATTAGGAGAACACACTGAAAGCTATTTCAGGTTATAATCTGTTTAACACAGTAGTGTATTGTTCTAAAGATCATTCTCATAAAACCACCTCCAAAGCATTGTATATTTTATGTTCAGAAACTTAATTTCATTTTGTCCTGTCTGAAGTCATGTAACTTTTTCTGAGGAATGCCTTGTACTTGCCCTTTGCTCTGAAAGTCTGGCATTGTTTTATAGCCAAAAGCAATAAAGTTCTGATTCTCCTTTGAGTTTATTAGGCTAAAGCTAGCCCTCTAGAGAGGGCATTGTCTCCAAATTGCCTCCCTCCCTGGGTGGTGCTTTATGCTCCCATCCTAACCCTGACTCTTCACCCAATCAAAACTTGGGTTGGTTCTTGAGTGTCACAAAGAACACCTAATAAACCAATTCACTGGGTAATAATGGTTGGTAATAGCTTTATGTGTGGCCCCATCAAGGATATGTCTTTGCCACCTAAAGATTCTGACTGGGTGTGGCTTGAGGTCAGTGGTTGAGGGGAGTGTGAGGGGTGGAAGTAACATAGAAGCCCTTCCTAGAGACTTCCTGGGTTTCTATGAAGATCTATTCACTCTGTAAGGAAAAATGCATACTTATAAAGGAATAGGCCAAAACACAGTATAGACCTTGTGACCCAAAAGACCTCCTAAACTTGGAGGCTTGGAAGCTCCATCTCAGATGCCCCTTGTGTAAGTTACATCTTTGCCTCAAGTCATCCTTTCTAGAAAAATCACTTTAAAATGTCAATTGTCTGGGAAGGATTGTACTACATTGATATAAATGCCATTACCTAGCAAACAACCAGCTGAAGTGAACAGGATAGGTGATTTTGATAACAATGTAGTGATGCAAAAAGGAAACTACAAAACCAGAAGTGCAAGAGATACCACATTGCATTCTTTTCTAGAAACAAAATTGTTCCAGGGAGGCTCTAACCAGGAAAATAGAGATCACTTCAAATAGCCACAGAGATAGCTGAATGCTAGGAATTGGTAACAATAGTGATAGAAAAACTCAGAAGCTAAACAGGGGATGGTGAAACAACCCAAAAATTAGTAACTGCAGCCACTGGTGTCAGAAATAAGAGAGGAGGCAGGGTTGCTGGAGCCCAGGGGCCAGGCAGCATGGCCAGCCTGGCAGGAGCTGCCACCAGAGAGGAGAAACAGCCCCTGCCAAAGAAGCAGTCTATGGAGGAGAATGGGGGAATGTTCTACAGATTCTTCTCTTTTCTTGCCCTCTGATCTCCCTCCAGTGCCTTCCATTGACCAAATGTGATGCAGCTGCCATGGGAGCCAAGGAAACCGCCTGTAGGTGTCAGTTCCCCAAGACACTCAGGAGAAAAGGAGGCAAAGCACAGAATGGGAATCTGCCTTTCTTATGATTTTTCCTCACTCTCTCAGATAGGATCAAACTTCCAAGAGCTTGTGGTGACGGCAGGAAGTGGGGAGAGATCCTTTGGTGTGTACTCAGTCCACAGAGGTTTCCTGTGTCTCTTCCCAGAGCTGTCACCTGTGGCTACAACACATGCCCTTAGATGGGATGGCCCTGCCTACACAGTCTCTCCCTCCAGCTCTCTCCTGCTCTAGCATTCCTCAGATTTCAGTGGAGGTGAACCAGCTCTGCAAAGCGTTTCCTGATTCTTCCTTTCTCCTTTCACTACCGTAACACCACACAGGGCTGAAATAGACTGTCTCCCCCACTACACCGTACGTTCCCTGAAGGTATGGACTATGGCTAAACCTCAAAGTAAGCCCAGAGATTGACATGCAAAGGGTGCTCAGTAAATATGTAGCTTATTTTTACCTGAGAGGAGGGGGAAAGAGCCTGCAGGTAAGGCCTGTTGGAGCCAGCTTTTATCTGACTCAGGAGAACCCATGGCTACATTTTCAGGAACTTTGCAAGCTGGTTATTAAATCATTAGCAGCTGTAGTAGCAGTAGTGACACCATGGATATTGGAAAATTCCATAAGCAGGGCTTCCCACTTCTCTCTAATCTCCCAACCGCCCAGAAAGCCAGTTTACCAGCATACCATTTTGTAGGGTCAAAGGTATGTGCAGAGGAGAAAGGTAGATCAGAGAATTAAAATCTGTGCTTTCAGAAATATTCTTTCATAGAAATAAAGTATAATTAAATTCCATAATTTCCAAAGAAAAGTCTATTTAAATTTTAATTATATTAGTAAAAGGAAGATAGAAAATAGAGGAGGAAAGAGAAAAAAAATGAGAGAAAGTAGTATATACACATCACTGGAGAAATCACTTCTCAGTTCTGGCTCTGATAGTAGCTGTGGGACCTCTGGCCCACAGTTCACTCACTAAATTATAGTCTTAAGAAACTTCTCTAAGTTGTGTCTTTCACAATACCTAGACTGGCATCTAACAGGTATTCAATAGCTATCACCTGAATTTTGCCAAATTAAGCTTTACCTCAGTTCCTTCATCTGTAAATTAAGAGATGAGAGACAGGGTTTTCAAGAGGGCCTGAGACTCCAAAGAGCTGATGTACAAACTTATAAAACTTAATTCCATGCACAGTTGAGGAGGAATTTGGGAAATTCCCCTCCATGGGGCCTGAGAACCCTTTGACACTTCCAAGTCACAATACTTCCATCATGAAAGCAAGTGAAATCAACAAAGTGTCATCATTATTAATTGCTCCTAATCAAAGTATACAAAGATCTCTGATCCTTTCCCAGAAAAGTTGCCAACTATCAGC